ATAATTAATCATCTAAGCTTAATTAATTCCATGTTGTATATGCACCACATTTTCTTTATCCATTTCACCTTCAATGGGCACCTAGGTTGATTCCATGTCTTTGCTATTGTGAATAGCGCTGCGATGAACATACGAGTGCTTGTATCTTTTTGGTAGAATCATTTACTTTCTTTTGGGTATATTACCCCTTCAGGGTAATATATATATTATATACATTTACCTCTTCCAGGTAAAATATATATTATATATATCTATCCTGAACTTTAAACCACAGGCAAAAAACACAAAAATAGAAAACTGGAATCACATCAATTTAAAAAGCTCCTGCACAGCAAAGAAAGCAATTAACAAGTAAAGAGATAACCCATAGAGTGGGAGAAAATGTTTGCAAACTATCCATTCAAGGGATTAATAACCAGAATATCTCAGGAACTCAACAACTCAATAGCAAAAAAAGCAAATAATCAGATTTTAAAATGAGCAAAAGACCTGAATAGACATATCTCAAAAGAAGACATACAAATGACCAACAGGTATATTTTTAAATGTTCAACATCACTAATCATCAGAGAAATGTAAACCCAAACCAGTGAGACATCCTCTTACCCCAGTTAGAATGGCTATTATCAAAAAAAGAAAAAACAACAAATGCTGATGAGGATGTGGAAAAAAGAAAATGCTTATATACTGTGGGAATGTAAATTAGTTCAGCCACTTTGGAAAGCAGTTGGGAGATTTTTCGAAGAACTTAAGCAGAACTACCATTCAACCCAGAAATCCCATTACTGGATATATACCCAAAACAAAATAAATTATTCTGCTAAGAAGATGCAAGCACTTGTATGTTCATTGCAGCACTATTCACAATAGCAAAGACATGGAATCAACCTAGGTGCCCATTGAAGGTGAATGGATAAAGAAAATGTGGTGCGTATACAACATGGAATACTATGCAGCCATAAAAAAGAACAAAATCAAGTTCTTTGCAGCAACATACATGCAGCTGGAGGCCATTATCCTAAGCAAATTAATGCAGGAAAGGAAAACCAAATATCACTTGTTTTCACTTGCAAGTGGGAACCAGACATTAGGTACTCAAGGACATAAAGATGGCAATAATAGATACTGAAGACTACTAGATCAGGGAGGGAGGAAAGGAAGCATTGAAAGGTTGGTTGAAAAACTACTGAGTAATATGTTCAGTACCTGGGTGGTGGGATCAACTGTACTCCAAATCTCAGCATCACACAATATACCTGTCAAACAAACCAGCACATGTACCCCATGAATCTAAAATAAAGTTGAAGTTATGAAAACAAAAAAGAAAATGTGGTACATATACACAATGGAATATTATTCAGCCAGAAAAAATAAAATCCTGTCATTTGCAGTACCTGGATGAAACTGAAGATTATTATATTAGGTGAATTAAGCCAGGCATAGAAAGAAAAATGTTTTCACTCATATGTAGGGCTAAAAAATTGGACCTAATGAAGGTATGAGATAGAATGGTAGTCACCAGAGGCTGGGAAGGGAATGAGGAAGGAGGAGGATAAACAGAAGTTGGTTCATGGGTACAAAAATACAGTTAGATAGAAGGAATAAGTTCTAGTATTCAACAGTACAATTAGGGAATTGTAGGTAATGATAATTTATTGTATCTTTCAAAATAGCTAGAAGGGAAGAATTGTAAGTTCCAAACACAAAGAAAACATAAATGTTTGAGGTAATGAGTATCCCAATGACACTGATCCAACCGTTACACATTGTATACATGCATCAAAATAGCACATGTACCCGCAAAAAATGTATGACTATGATATTTCAATAAAAAATACCAAAAAAAGTACATTTACCCCAAATCAGTTTTCTTATTTTCATTTTTCAGACTTTCCCTTCAAATTAAATTAAAATACTGACGTTAGTTTTCTGTGGTTTTGTGTTGCAGTTAATGTTCTTATTAAGTGTCCTTCAACATGGCTTCTCCCGCCTCCATCCAAATGCCTGCCACCCTCACCCCTTCACCCCAGCTCCCACACACCTGTGTGATACTGGAGAAGATTTTTACGGGCTTTCAACTACTGAGGCCCCAGTTACTTTCTCATTTTTTGTTGTCCTAATACAAACTGTAGATTCCTTAACAAAAACAAACTCTAAGGGCACTTTTGACTTAGAGGAAGAACCTAAAATAGTCACCCTCTGTGTTTTCAATGCCACTGCACAAGTCACGCTCATTCCCGAGCTCCTATACTCAAGATCTACTTTAGACTGATCTATAAACATTTATAATTAGCTAAATAGATTATTGGGTAGTATGCACTATTAGTAAAATAATATTTAAGGACCAAGGGAAAAATTTTAACTCAGTGGTTGTTGTAAATGTGTTTGAGCGAGAGTTAGCATGAATGTAAACACCTGAATAGGGAACAGCACCAAAAGAATGATTTAAAGCAAGAGCCCCAGAGGCCTAGCTCACCCATGCATCCCAATTTATTATTTTAAAATTCTGTATGAGAAGAAGAAATAGAGAAATAAACAAACACATACTGGGATTTTCCATGTCTCTGTAATGGAAGAGGGATAGAGGGAAAATTTCTACGTCTCTTCCTGTCTTTCAGTGTTTCTCTTGTTCCAATCAATGGCTTCAATTTTTCCAGGAGATGAAGTCTTAGTTGCCTTGGGCTTTCTTAGTCATTAGTCTTCAGCCTCTTACCCCAAATGAAAAGGGATTCTTTGGAAAACACAGGTCCCCTCCATCTGCTTTCCTGCTTCTCTGTGAGACAAAAACAGAATGATTACAGTCACATAATGGTTTGGTTTTTGTTTTTTTTTAAATCAACAACATGAACCTACAAAACTGTCTTTTCACTTATTAAAAAAGTACTTTTCTCTACTTGACTGCCTTTGGCTTTATCCTTTTCCATTCTTCTTTTCCAGGAAAACTCACTACGTATTTCTTCATGTGCCTCTGATCAATACATTCTTTCACTGGATTTACCATGAGCTACTGCTGGTGATTTTGCTGAACTTGTTCTTTAGTTACATACCACCCCCCACCACCCCCCACACACACATACACACAAACCAGTGCTTCTTCCAAAACAAATTCTTTTTAAAACATTGAAATATTTACTAGTAGAAATGTGGGTTTCAAACAGTGCTAAAGAGATTTCACCAGCTGGAAAAATTAGAGCTGCTGGAGTAAGAGATGAGACAATGATATCAACAGGGCCAAGAGTTCATTTATTAAGAAACTGAACCCTATCTGTTAAAGATATAATGTAAAATGGTAAAAAGTAGCAAACTAGTGGCAGTAGTAAGATTCATGGAATATGTGGACTGCAAGAAAAGGAAAAACGACCAGGCTGCAACTCAAATCCTAGGTTGGTCAATACATTTTCTGCTTTGTCTTATATGCCCTGTGTTATTAGGGAAGTATTATATATTTTAATTATATATTTTAGTCTGCAGGTCAAAGACCTTCAAGTGAATTCTGCCTCTGACAAAGGTATCAATAGATAATCTCACAATATCCCAGAATACCCAGTATGAATTGACAAGAAAGTAATCACTCAAACGTCTCTTTCATCAACAGTGCCCACAAGTGGTATGTTTCTGAAAATTTACAGTCTTCAGTGAGGCAACCTTTAAATGCACCTTTAAACTGCATTAAAATCTGAGTGTTTCAAAATCATGGCAGTGTATTGTATTGGTCAGCACAGGCTATGTTATATTGCAGTAACAAATAAACCCCCAAGTCTCAATGGCTTAACATCACAAAGGTTTAATTTTTGCTTATCCAGTGCAGTTTGGTAAAGGAGCCCTATCTCAATTTGTCACATAGTATCCCTGGCTGAGAAGGGTTCCATCATCTTGTGGCACTGCCATCTCAACATTGCTGAGGCAGAAAACGAGAGAGCTGGAGGGTCATGCAGGGGCTGTTTCCTATACACATGTGAAGTCCACTAACAATCCATTGGGCCTATTCAGTGACAAGGTCCCAGATAACTCCAAGCGGGCTGAGAGGGATAGTTCTGTCTGAGTACTAATAATTCTACCATCCAAGGTAGGTTAGGTATTGATTTTACCTAAACAATATTTCATAAGGAAGATGCTCATCTAATTACAAATTTTTAGAAACATTCCTTATGGTAACATATTTTTAACCATTCAATTTTCTAAAATCTGTATTCCTTAAGCTATTGTAAATATTGCAAATTATGAGTTTCAATTTGAATGTTTTGAGTTTTTGTGTTAACTTTTAAGGTAGTATTTACATATAAGAAAATCATCATTTTAAGTACACATTTTGATGAGTTTTGGTATTTATAAATAATCACATAACTACCACCACAATCAAGATACAGAATATTTCCCTTACCCTAAAACGTTTCCTCATTATCCTTTGCAGTTAAACCCAAGCCCCACTCCACCTCTGACTCTAGGTAACCATTAATCTTCTTTCAGCCAAAGTAGTGTTGAATGTTCAGAATTTAATTTGTAGAATTTATTTTATAATTCAAAAGAGAAAATTAAGAATGTTTTGTTCCCTTTTGTAATTCAGGCAGGTTGTTTGATAAACATTTAATGCTATTTATCATTCATAATGTTTCTACCATATCATTTAATAGCTGTTCCTTGCATCCAAATAATAAAACATGTGCAGCCCAACACACTTTCAGAAGGCAATATCCTGGTGATTGATTTATTTAGAATATGTCCATTGGCTCTACCTATGCCACAGTGTAAAGCAGAAGTGTTCCTTCCTCTTTGTATCCAAAACACTATCAAGATTGAACTTAGAGAAATAGTAAAGGCAATTATGGAGAGGTCTTCCAAATTTTCTTTGAGACTTGTAGAAAAACTGCTCTATATATCAATGAGAGTAGATAGGGATATATCAATGTGTGTGTGTGTGTGTGCTGGAGAGTCACTACAGGGAGCTAATACAAGTACTCATTGCATTGATGAAAACTCCCCTCCTTCCTTACTCATCACAGAGCTGTGACGAGGGATCACAGTAAATCCAAGCTTGGAAAATGAGCTGTGTCAGACCTCCCAAAGACAACCTCCTTTGCAACAGGAGGTTGTCAAAGCCCCAGGGACCAGGTGAGTTACCCATCTCTTTCAAACCCAATTGTGATTTGCTCTTACTGTCTCGTGGGGAGAGGAAAGATTGTCAGGAAAAGATTCGCCACCGTGTTCTGGGCATTCACAGTAGTGGCTGGCGGCTTTGTATTCGGGTGCAGTAATGGCAGTCGACAGGGAAATTGTTGAATCAGCAGAAGGGCAAAGGGCACAGGTAATATAATGTCAGCTACACCTTGACAGAGAAAGAATGTGGCTGTTTGTGTTCCTGGGGAACCCAAGGACTTGAGGCAGAACACAGCTGGTGCTAACTAAGGCGTAAGGCATGTCAAGTAGGTGTTCTTATGCTATAACTAAGTATCAAGGTATGAAAATTTGCTAACACTTAAAATGCTTTTTTCCAGAAATCTTCAGGGCAGTCATTTGTTTTTGTCAGCAGCACTGCCAGTCTCCACAACATTCCATCCTGTTTGAAGTATTCATCTTTTTATTCAATGGTTCAACAAATATTTAGTAAGCACCTGCTGAATACAAGGCAAAATACCAGAGTCAAGAGAAGAGTGACTGGGCACAATGGCTCACGCCTGTAATCCCAGCACTTTGGGAGGCCAAGGCAGGTGGGTCATGAGGTCAGGAGTTTGAGATCAGTCTGACCAACATGGTGAAACCGCGTCTCTACTAAAAATACAAAAATTAACCGGGCATGGTGGCATGCGCCTATAGTCTCAGCTACTTAGGAGGCTGAAGCAGGAGAATTGCTTGAACCCAGGAGGCGGAGGTTGCAGTGAGCCGAGATCGTGCCATTGTACTCCAGCCTGGGCGACAGAGTGAGACTCCGTTTCCAAAAAAAAAAAAAGAGAGAGAGAGAAGTACCATGTCCAGCACTTGGGTTGCCCCAGACAACACTACATTAATATAAGTACTTTACCTTCACCTTCATCCACTCTTTCAGAGTCTCTTCTCTCACAGCAACATTATTGCACTCCCTGGACTTTCCACCCTCCCTTTTCCTGAGAACTTCTGCTGTAACTCCTCTTCATGATGTGTTCTAGACCATACTTCCTGCACTGATGGAAATGTTCTATTTCTGCACTGTTCAATAGAGTAGTCACTGGCCACCTGTGGCTATCAAGCTTTTGAAATGTAGCTAATGAGGCAGAAACTGAATTTTTTAATTTATTGTTTCAACTTATTCAAAATTAAATAGCCATTAAATACCCCTGGACATCATTGTTCTGGACATTTTCTATTTTTCCATTCTCAATCCCTAATATTTACCTTGGCAATTTTCTTTGGGGTTTTTTTTCTTTTTCTTTTTCTTTTTCTTTTTTGAGATAGTCTCCATCACCCAGGCTGGGGTGCAGTGGTGCAATCTTGGCTCACTGCAATCTCTGCCTTCCGGGTTCAAGCGATTCTCCCACCTCAGCCTCCCAAGCAGCTGAGATTACAGGTGTGTGCCACCACACCCAGCTAATTTTTGTATTTTTAGTAGAGACAGGGTTTCACCATGTTGGCCAGGCTGGTCTTGAACTCCTGACATCAAGTGATCCACCCACTTTGGCCTCCCAAATTGCTGGGATTATAGGCATAAGCCACCACACCCAGCCGTTGCCAATTTTCTTCTAGATAGCAACAAGTTAATACAGTGATTTCATGCATTAATGAGTGCTTCAATAAAGGAACCCCTTATGTATTGTACTAGGTTGGATAGTGTCCCCTCAAAGTTCATACCCTTCACAGAACCTCAGGTTTGTAAACTTATTTGGAAATAAGGTCATTTAAGATGCAATTAGTTAAGATGAGGTCATGCTAGAGTAGGGTGAGCCCTTAATCTAATATAACGTGGATCTTTATAAGAAGAGGAGAAGACAGACACAGAGAATGCCATGGAAAAGAAGACGCTGAAATTGTAGTGATGCATCTACACGCCAAGGAGTGCCAGTGTCATTGGCACCCACCAAAGCTGCAAGGAAAGCATGGAATATATCCTCCCCTAGAGCCTTCAGCAAGAGCATAGCTCTGCTGACATCCTGATTTCAGACTTCTAGCCTCCAGAACTATGAGAGAATACATTCCTGTTGTTTTAAGCCACTCAGTCTGGTAATTTCTTAAGGCAGCCCTAGGAAATGAATACAGGTACTTAGATTGGCTTCATCTTTATCTTTACTCTTACGTTATTTAATAAAGACTTTATGGTCTTGGATTTGTCCCCCAAATTATTAACGGTGAAAAGGGTACTCTACCCATGGTAGAGTAACTAGCAATAAGGATATTTAAGAAGAGTAAAGGACAGGTGGTACCTTGATAAAGTAAGAGTTTCCCATTTCTTCCTGTCTAGATTTTCTCCCTCACCAGACTTTACCTCAGAAGCCTGCTATACATAGCCTGAGACCTCATTCTGAATCAAGGATGTGACTTAAGTCTTAGAAGGAAGGCTGGCTTCTGTCTGCAGCCCATTATTGACCTAAGGCTGCTATGATCACATTAAGAAAATAAAGCATTATCCATCCAGAGAAAAAGTATGACAAGTAATCGTGTATCATTACTAAAATATAACATTCCTAAAGCAGTTTTCCTAAAACTTATGGAAATACATGCATATACATGTACATGGATATTATGTGTGCATATAATGAATGTGTGTAGAAATGTGGATATGTATGAGTGTATATTGCTTGGGTACATCACGGAAGTGAAATCTGTTTTTCCTGAATGACTGAGAGTTCTTTCAGAGAATCCGGAATCCTCTAGAGTGAGTCACACACTAGCCTCTCAAAGAGACAGCCTGGAGTAAGTTAAATATACATTGAAGTCAACCCTGAGGACACCACCAGGATGATCTAGAATTGCCCTGAGGGAGAATCAAAGGCTCCAAGGCTCACAATTCTGTACCCTACATGTTGAGGAAGCTAAAAGTTTAGAGCAAAACCATATCCAACACACCACAGTCCACTCCTCTGCTATGGACTTCACATTATTTCCACAAACAAACTTTGCTGCCGTAATATGCCTATTCAGCTAGATATGTCAATTTCACAGTTTTAAAATATGCAGGGAATGTGAATTTTTTACGGACAAAGAGCTGGTATCTGGCTGTTCAGACACCCTGGAGCAAACAGATCCAGTAAAAGAAACCACAGTGATTTGCCAGAACCCAGAAAGGCGACAAAGCCCATGGAGACTTCTCTCTCAGACCACAGTTGCAATAGAAAAACAACTGTTTTTACATATACATGTACATCTTAGAGGCAGCGGCAGAATGAAAGCCTTACTGAGAGAGATGTCTCCTGTGGCAGGAAAGACCTTATTAGACCATAATTGATGGAATCCAAGACAGGTTGCAGAGAATGCCACTGCATCTCAGAGAGTTGCATGGCATTCCCATAAATTTCGCTGATGACATTGATCCCAGGCCTGGAAACCTTTGTGGGGGCTATATTGTTAGGCTTCATTGGATTCCTACTTTTTTCCAGAAAGCTATCAGTTATAAATTGTTATTGATAAATGTTGGAACCCAATTCTGGTATTTTCAGAGACTGTGCAACCTGAAAACACCCCACGTGTGGTACAGAGTGAGAAAAGGCAGACAAACTGACAGGTTTGTTTACATCGACCGTAGCTTGGCAAGCAGCAGGGAATTCCAGCCTCCCCAGGGAGGGTGTTCATTCAGCTGATGCACATTTGCCCCTCTGACTACTGCCAGTGTTCTCTGCAAGGGAGCAAGGGCTTTGGTAATTGGCTGCTTTGGGTGAGTTTCAGAGGTTTGTGGGGTTTCAGAACCCAGTCACTTTGTTTCTGTCAGAGTCCTACTGCTGATCTGGCTCTGACCTAAAAGGAGATTTTAAAGAGAACAATTATCCTGTAGATTGAGAAATACCTACAGTGATAGTTTGGGGTGTGGGGGTGTCATGAAAGAAAATGTGAAGAGAATACAGTGTAGAAGTTTTATTTCCTAGAAGAGCCTGATTTTTATTCAGAAGACATTGTCTATGTGTTCTGTATAAAGTCAGGACAACTTTTTTTTGTTGTGTGTGACTAAGTTATATAATGCTCTTTGGATGCATATTTTAAAGCCATGTTTGCATGGTTCCAAAGATGTGTATAAGAGACAGGTTATATAATGCTCTTTGGATGCATATTTTAAAGCCATGTTTGCATGGTTCCAAAGAGAACTGATGTACTTCCAATGGGTGGAACTCCATGCCACACAGAGGGTGGTAGAAGACCTGCACTGTGTGATGTGTGTATTTACCATGAACCTAAGGGGCACTTTTTTTTTAAGTGAGTAAATTCAGAAATTCCCTATTTCCACAACATAGATTTGCTCAAGTATCACTCTTCTCTAAAACCGTCTAGCTTCTCTCATAGAAAATCTAAATCGGAGCTCATAAAATGATAGGATCATGTAATGTATTCACAACTGAGCTATTTTAGTGCTTAGAATGGGATATGGTGTATACCCAATATATTTCAATGTGTATTAAAGTATATTTTTTAAAATAGTAGCTTTATATTGAATAAAATCGTATACATTGGTACTATATATAACAGCAGAAGGAAAAATTTGTTATTTCCTATTTTCAGGGGGCAACACTAGTAATCATTTACTTTGTTTCTTTAAAAATGTGATTGTTTTGAATTTGAAATCTGACTTCCAGAATGTCTCAATATGTCATATAGTGTTCTACTACTCTTAGCATGACATTTCAAAAAGTAATAGAGTATCTAAGATCTTCTTACGTATCTCATTTATTAAAATTAATAGAGATAATAGAGATACATGCATAGCTTTGCAATCACTTATTGTACCTAAATTTGTGATTATACCAAATTTGAAGATGAAATAGTCACAAGTCAAGCACCACAATTTAAAAGTGTAGGAAATCATACTTTAACAATTGATCATACAAATAACTAGGAAGTAGTATAAGTAGTAGTTAAGATCAAGAATCTCAACACTAGAGATACCTGAATTCAAGCCCCTGTTCTGCCACCTAGTGTTTGTGTGAACTAGAGTCTCA